TTTATTAAAAAAGTTAATAAAATAGGTTTTAAAAAGTCCACAGTCAACCACACATGATGGGTTAAATAATTGCTTCTTTAAAAGCTATATGCTGCCGCAATTATGTATATAAATACAGATTAGGGCACAGAGTAGAAATAAAAATACAGTTTCAAATCTCATATATGGGGATTCAGTTCCACCACATATTCTACAATAGTGATGCACCGAACGGTTCGCCGGCGAACACATGCGCGGTTCGATCCGCCCCCTATTCGTCATCATTGAGTAAACTTTGACCCTGTACCTCACAGTCAGCAGACACATTCCAGCCAATTAGCAGCACACCCTCCTAGCAGACCCTCCCACCTACTGGAAGGCATCCATTTTACATTCATTCTCAAGCTGCATGCTTAGTGAGAGGAGGGAAAGTGTAGCTGCTGTTGATTAGATAGGGAAATGCATAGCTAGGTTAGGGTTAGGGTATGCTTTTTCTGTGTAATGTAATTGCAGTTAGTTGTCTGCCACTGCTGCCAGCTTCTGTGTCAGGCTCACAGTGGATACTGTGCCCATTTGCCCAGTCAGTGCCACCACTCATATCTGGTGTCACAATAGCTTGCATTTAAAAACAAAAAACTTTTTTCACTGTTATAGATTGAATAGCAGTCAGTGTCCTTAAAGCGGGTGTGTCAGGCTCACAGTGGATACTGTGCCCAGTGCCACCACTCACTCACTGGTGTCACAATAGCTTGCATTTAAAAACAAAAAACTTTTTCACTGATTGAATAGCAGTCAGTGAATAGCAGTTAGTTGTCTCAAAGCGGGTGTGTCAGGCTCACAGTGGATACTGTGCCCAGTGCCACCACTCACTCACTGGTGTCACAATAGCTTGCATTTAAAAACAAAAAACTTTTTTCACTGTTATAGATTGAATAGCAGTCAGTGTCCTTAAAGCGGGTGTGTCAGGCTCACATTGGATACTGTGCCCAGTGCCACCACTCACTCACTGGTGTCACAATAGCTTGCATTTAAAAACAAAAAACTTTGTTCACTGTTATAGATTGAATAGCAGTCAGTGTCCTTAAAGCGGGTGTGTTAAGCTCACAGTGGATACGGTGCCCAGTGCCACCACTCACTCACTGGTGTCACAATAGCTTGCATTTAAAAACAAAAAACTTTTTTCACTGTTATAGATTGAATAGCAGTCAGTGTCCTTAAGCGGATGTGTCAGGCTCACAGTGGATACTGTGCCCATTTGCCCATCTGGTGTCACAATAGCTTAAGCTTGATATTTAAAAAGAAAAAAAAATTTTTTCACTGTAATAGATTGAATAGCAGTTAGTTATCTGCAAGCGTCTGGTTGACAGGCCTCCTTCAGCGTGTGCTCTGCAGACCTCTGCCCGTGTACTTTGCCACTCATATCTGGTGTCTCTATAGCGTGCTTTTACAAAGAAAAAAAGTTTTTCAGTGTAAGCTAATAGCAGTCAGTGTCCTTAAAGCGGGTGTCAGGCCTCCTTCAGCGTGTGCTCTGCAGACCTTTGCCCGTGTACTTTGCCACTCATATCTGGTGTCTCTGTAGCGTGCTTTTACAAAGAAAAAAAGTTTTTCAGTGTAAGCTAATAGCAGTCAGTGTCCTTAAAGCAGGTGTCAGGCCTCCTTCAGTGTGTGCTCTGCAGACCTTTGCCCGTGTACTTTGCCACTCATATCTGGTGTCTCTATAGCGTGCTTTTACAAAGAAAAAAAGTTTTTCAGTGTAAGCTAATAGCAGTCAGTGTCCTTAAAGCGGGTGTCAGGCCTCCTTCAGCGTGTACTCTGCAGACCTCTGCCCGTGTACTTTGCCACTCATATCTGGTGTCTCTATAGCGTGCTTTTACAAAGAAAAAAAGTTTTTCAGTGTAAGCTAATAGCAGTCAGTGTCCTTAAAGCGGGTGTCAGGCCTCCTTCAGCGTGTGCTCTGCAGACCTTTGCCCGTCTACTTTGCCACTCATATCTGGTGTCTCTATAGCATGCTTTTACAAAGAAAAAAAGTTTTTCAGTGTAAGCTAATAGCAGTCAGTGTCCTTATAGCGGGTGTCAGGCCTCCTTCAGCGTGTGCTCTGCAGACCTTTGCCTGTGTACTTTGCCACTCATATCTGGTGTCTCTATAGCGTGCTTTTACAAAGAAAAAAAGTTTTTCAGTGTAAGCTAATAGCAATCAGTGTCCTTAAAGCAGGTGTCAGGCCTCCTTCGGCGTGTGCTCTGCAGACCTTTGCCCGTGTACTTTGTCACTCATATCTGGTGTCTCTATAGCGTGCTTTTACAAAGAAAAAAAGTTTTTCAGTGTAAGCTAATAGCAGTCAGTGTCCTTAAAGCGGGTGTCAGGCCTCCTTCATCGTGTGCTCTGCAGACCTTTGCTTGTGTACTTTGCCACTCATATCTGGTGTCTCTATAGCGTGCTTTTACAAAGAAAAAAAAGTTTTTCAGTGTAAGCTAATAGCAGTCAGTGTCCTTAAAGCGGGTGTCAGGCCTCCTTCAGCGTGTGCTCTGCAGACCTCTGCCCGTGTACTTTGCCACTCATATCTGGTGTCTCTATAGCGTGCTTTTACAAAGAAAAAAGTTTTTCAGTGTAAGCTAATAGCAGTCAGTGTCCTTAAAGCGGGTGTCAGGCCTCCTTCAGTGTGCGCTCTGCAGACCTCTGCCCGTGTACTTTGCCACTCATATCTGGTGTCTCTATAGCGTGCTTTTACAAAGAAAAAAAGTTTTCAGTGTAAGCTAATAGCAGTCAGTGTCCTTAAAGCGGGTGTCAGGCCTCCTTCAGCGTGTGCTCTGCAGACCTCTGCCCGTGTACTTTGCCACTCATATCTGGTGTCTCTATAACGTGCTTTTAGAAAGAAAAAAAGTTTTTCAGTGTAAGCTAATAGCAGTCAGTGTCCTTAAAGCAGGTGTCAGGCCTCCTTCAGCGTGTGCTCTGCAGACCTTTGCCACTCATATCTGGTGTCTCTATAGCGTGCTTTTACAAAGAAAAAAGTTTTTCATTGTAAGCTAATAGCAGTCAGTGTCCTTAAAGCGGGTGTCAGGCCTCCTTCAGCGTGTGCTCTGCAGACCTCTGCCCGTGTACTTTGCCACTCATATCTGGTGTCTCTATGGCGTGCTTTTACAAAGAAAAAAAGTTTTTCAGTGTAAGCTAATATCAGTCAGTGTCCTTAAAGCGGATGTCAGGCCTCCTTCAGCGTGTGCTCTGCGGCAGATCTTTGCCCTCGCGGTAATTTTCGTGGCTACCCATATCTGGCAGGTCTCTGTAGCTGCTTTTACAAAGAAAAAAAAGTTTCAGTAGCAGTCAGTGTCCTTAAGCAGGTGTCAGGCCTCCTTCAGCGTGTGCTCTGCAGACCTTTGCCCGTGTACTTTGCCACTCATATCTGGTGTCTCTATAGCGTGCTTTTACGAAGAAAAAAAGTTTTTCAGTGTAAGCTAATAGCAGTCAGTGTCCTTAAAGCAGGTGTCAGGCCTCCTTCAGTGTGTGCTCTGCAGACCTTTGCCCGTGTACTTTGCCACTCATATCTGG